CTTGTATTGTGTGTGTGTGTGTGTGTGTGTGTGTGTGTGTGTGTGTGTGTGTGTGTGTGGGCGACAGATCACAGTTAGGAGAGTCAGAGAGCTCTCTTTGCTCACGCTGCTCCAGGCTTTTCTTCTCCCTGTTCTCCTCTCATCCTTCTCCATCCGAGGCCTCTGATAAGGTCTCCTCTCTACAACCGGAGCCAAGGACGACCTCGCTGCTTTAGGCTCTTTGGTTGCATGTAAAAACAGAGTAAAACACACAAAAACCTTAACGGTCCTCGACAGATTAGGTCAAACTGGTGAGTTTCTGTTACCCATTGCTGGAGGCGAAGCAGCAATCGTGTTTTTCTGCATCTGCATCTTCCAATGCTTATCTGTAGTCAGATGTAGGAGAGAAAGCCAGACCTCCCTGGCATGCCTGGTTGTGGTTTGGTTTAGATGGCCCAAATCTATGAATGCCACAACTGGCCCAGTTGTGGTTTGGTTTAGGTAGTCCAAATCTGCAATTGCCACAACTGGCCCAGTTGTGGTTTGGTTTAGATGGCCAAAACCTATCAATGCTACAACTGGCCCAGTTGTGGTTTGGTTTTAGATGGTCAAAAATGCCACAACTGGCCCAGTTGTGGTTTGGTTTAGGTGGTCCAATTCTGCAATTGCCACAACTGGCCCAGTTGTGGTTTGGTTTAGGTGGTCCAAATCTGCAATTGCCACAACTGGCCCTGCTGTGGTTTGGTTTAGATGGCCAAAACATATCAATGCTACAACTGGCCCAGTTGTGGTTTGGTTTAGATGGCCAAAATCTTTCAATGCCACAAATGGCCCAGTTGTGGTTTGTTTTAGATGGTCAAAACCTATCAATGTCACAACTGGCCCAGTTGTGGTTTGGTTTAGATGACCCAAATATGTCAATGCCACAACTGGCCCTGTTGTGGTTTGGTTTAGATGGCCAAAATTTGTCAATGCCACTACTGGCCCAGTTGTGGTTTGGTTTTGATGGCCCAAATCTGTCAATGCCACAATTGGCCCAATTGTAGTTTGGTGTAGGTGGCCCAAATCTGTCAATGCCACAATTGGCCCAATTGTAGTTTGGTGTAGGTGGCCCAAATCTGTCAATGCCACAACTGGCCCAGTTGTGGTTTGGTATATGTGGACCAAATCTATCCATGCCGCAACTGGTGTGGCTGTGGTTTGGTTTAAGTGGTGCTGGCCCATTCATGGACCACTTCTGGCACACCAACGACTGTCATTCTTGGCAGTATCTGGGCCAACTGTTACTGCATAATGTAGGCCAGAACTGGCACAGAGTAATTTTGTTATGTGGGACGTACTGTATGTGGTAAATACATCTCTTGAACCAATGGACAGATTTTAACAAAACTCTTAGGAATTATATGGCTCGTTAATGCTCAGAGTCATTATTCAATCTGGCCAGAGCTAAGCCATCTTATTGTACATGAAAACTGCTATAACTTAGATGAGTTTAACAGATTTTAAGCTAAATTTTGTAGTAGCAGTAGCTGAGTGTCATTCTTTCATAATGAGAACACAAAGTCAAGGCAAGGTTTGACCAAAACTGCTGTAACATGAGATGAACTTAGTTCAAAATTCTTGCATGAAAGGTGGTGGGTGATGTGCATTCAGCTTTCAGTTGCGGACATTTTTCCTCCATTCAAACTTGCAGTTTTAAAAATTTTAAAAGAAGAATTAAATGTATACCTGTTTCACTGCAGTTTTGGTATCAGAGACTGTGTGTGGGTTGCAGGAGAGGGGCGGTATGTGAAAAAAACAGAACTTGGCAGCGGGCTCTCATCTGGAGCCAGACTCCCTCTCCCCATAGGTGCCTCCTCTACGCTCTCCCGTTAACGTTCCTCCACTTTCAGAGGAGAGTCCTCGGGCGAGAGCTTCTCCGAGCCCAGCGTTAGGCTTCAAAAAACTGCGCTTGATGCGGCTCAGGTCACTCCAGCCTCTCTCTCCCTCTCTCTCTAAGCACCACTCTTTATATTTATATTTCCACAAGCGCCGAGGCACTCGGGCTTGCAGGAATGAACAGTGCCAGGAGTTATACAATCGCAGTTATAGCTGTGAGCCTGGAGAGGTGTGAGGCGGTTGCGTTTGCTGGCTCTTTGAACTTTGATTTCTTACCTAAGGAGGGTTATTTGATCTGAAATAGATCAAGACGTTAAGTGAAATCGCCTCTGTGGGTCACAGAAACCCTGGTTTAACCCAGTCAAATGAGATAAAAATGACAGTTTTACTCATTCTTTACCTTACCTGTAAAAAATAGCATCAAGTTTGACGGTTTTACTGCTGAATGTTAGGTTTACGTAACAATATGAACATCACACTGACAATAATGAAGTGTTCAGGCTTCTGTTTTATAACTATTAAGGTAAGATTAGCATTTTCATTAACTTTTGAAAACCATTAATGAATAAATTAGCTTCTGCTAAATTAGGTTTTGCCAACTTTGAGTCTGCTAACAGTTAACTAACAAGCTAACATCAACAGGTTTGTGTCCCACCAGACTTCAGCTGGAAAGAGACAGGCTATGTCCAAATTCAGGGACTGGGTCTTTCGGAGAATCCAGCCACCCGGTCTAGCTGGGCCTGGTCCTTTTTCGACCTCGAAGACCGGATGAAAGTGGTTGTAAATTTGGACGGTCAAGCTTTCAGCTTTATTCCCACCCTTACGTATGTCCTGTCGTCTAGCAAACATGACGATGCTAAACAGAGGCAAAAAAATAGAAAGTAGCAAAATATTAATATAAATTAACAGAATTAGCTTAGAGGCAATACTTGAACAACTAAAGGATCAGCCGTACGAGCTTGTTTATTTCACCATACAAGCTTGTTTGATTTTTGACAAGAAATACATGTCTATGCAAATGACAAAAATCCCAACAACAGTTTAGGTTTAAAGACTTCTTTAAACTTTAATATTTTATACAGTCAGGTTTTTATTTAAAATTGTACTACTGTCTCTCAATTCATCCTCCATTACAAGCAAAAAATAATCTCTGGTCATCCCACAATGCATATGGCCGGGACAGACACCGGACTTGTCCCTTAAATCGGGAAAAAAGGAGGACAAATATGTGAACCACAACTGAAGGTGCCTTTGAATTTAGACAGCCTTCGGCGAGGAGCATTGATGTAAGCTGCCGACAAATTCAGCCTTCGAAGGATGCAACCCCTGAATTTGGACACAGCTAATCACACGTGATGCAGTTTGTAACAGTCGACTTAGCAGTTAGCTTTTATTGTTGGCTTCCACCAGTGGTGGGCAGCACTAAATTCTAAAAATTTGTTCCACTGGCCCTAAAACACTAACTCAAATATTTAGGTCCCCTAATTCTAAAGCACTAACTCAAATATTTAGGTCCCCTAATTCTAAAGCACTAACTCAAATATTTAGGTCCCCTAATTCTACAGCACTAAAATAACCCAGTCAACCCATGAACATTCTTCAACAGACAACATGAGTCACATATTGTCATGTTGCTCTCTTAAAACTTATCATTGACATCCCACAGCCACATTTGAGTTCATATATTGTCAATATATTGTCACCTATGGTGGATAAGTGACACACAAATGAACAAACTGTGCATCAGCTTTCACTGTCAGCTGTTAACATTAACGTTGATCAATAACATTTAAAGACCTCAGTTAGTGCTTCTAAATTTAGCCTAGAAATTTAGCAAGTGCTAATCCACTAATACATTTTAAAATTAGAAAAATCCCTAAAGCACTAATCAGGAAATTAGTTCCCCTATTAGTATTTTAGTGCTTTAGGGGAACTGTGTCCAGCACTGGCTTAAACTAATTTTTTCCTTGTTTAGCTGTTAATGTTAGCTTCTGCTAATTTTTTACTTGTTTCGTTGTTCAGTTTAACACTAATTCTTTCACATGTTTAGCATTAGAGAAGCTATGTTTTTAGTTAGTGGATCATGATTTAGCTAAGCTATGTTTTTAGTTAGCGGATTATGATTTAGCTAAGCTAAGTTTTTGGTCAGCTATTCTGTTTATAATAGTGACTGTAGGTTAGATGTTCCTTCAGATAAAGTTTCAGGTATTTTGGCATCCTCTACTTTTGTGGGTTTCTTTTGTGTCCCTCAGAGACTCGGTCACCTGAACGCACTTCGGCCCGAATGTGCTCTCTGCCCACAGAGGTGACCGACACCTTCAGCATCCACGGTGACACCAGCGTAGGGAGCTCAATCCACTACAGCTGCCTGTCTGGGTGAGTGAGGGCCTCGAGAAGCCCGATAGAGCGAGAGAAAAGGAACGGAGGAAGTGATAAATGGAGTGTGAAGAAGTAGAAATGAGGAGGGAAGGAGGGACGCTGGTGTGATGAGCGATGAATGGCAGGGAATTCATTTTGATCTCCCAGCTGACGATCCCTCCATTCAGCTAACTGGGTCATTACAGTCGAAATCTTGTATAGACTTCCCTTTACGCTCTGACTCATCTCACAGGAAAAAACGAGTCTGAGTGGATGTGTCAGCCAGAAGCGAGCACATAAACAGTCTGAAAAAGGAGACAGTAATAAAAAATTACACTTTAAAGTCAATGAAGCTGATTATCTACAGTACATGTTCACCCCACCATCTGTTTCCTTCTGCCTTCCTGCAGGGCAGGAATAGTTGGGACGAGTGAAAACTTCTGTCAGGAGAATCGAACCTGGCTGTTTCCTCACCCCACATGTAAAAGTAAGTGTGCGGCATTTTCCACGCACCAACCACAGTGTGTAAACATACATGTGTGCTACATCCGCTTCACGCTCAGCAGGACTTTTACTCGTTTTGTTTTCTCAACTTTGAATATTAGAAGGAAAAGACTGAATCATGTGTGAATGAGGCGAGAGACTGAAAATAAGTGTTAGTTGGGAGATTTGTTTGTATTTTTCCATCAGCCAGAAACACACACACACACACACACACACACACACACACACACACNCACACACACACACACACACACACACACACACACACACACACACACACAGAGGTATGTGAATGGCAGATCTCTTCTGCCCTCTTGTGGTGAAAGGCGAGATTGTTCGGCTTGTTTGATGAAAACAGAAAATGATTTTCAGGATTAAGTTTTGCTGAATATTTCTTGAACAACCAGTCAGATTTTAACAAAACTATCAAAATATAATAACTGGATGTGCATCTATAACTGATGAACTTTTGGAGGTGATGCAATTCAAAACGGCTGCCACAACTAAGCAACCTCAGCAAATGCAAAAACAGCTAGAATTAATCCAGTTTTACAAAAACTGCGCCAAAATTTGCCGTGGCCGTAGCTGAGAGTTGCTCACACGTAGTCCATGGACTCAACATCTCATTACATTTTTTTTGCTTAAAACTTTGATGTTAACCATTGGTATCAAACTTGTCTATTAGCAAAATATCTTACAAACCATTGGATGGGTTTTAGCCAAGCTCTTGAAACGTAAACACTGGGTGCACATCTGCAGCTGATTAACTTTTAAAGAGAATACAATTCAAAATGAACTCCACAAATAATCAGCATTTGCCAACATATCGAAAGACTCAGTTTTACAGATAATGAGCTAAAATTTGGTGTGGTAGTAGCTGAGTGATCTCTAACGTCTCTAGACTTTTAGTTTTAGGAAGAACATTTTTCAAAAGATGCAGGTGAACAAAGAAGAATGACAGAACCCTTCTGCTTCTCCCCGTCTTTCAGGGCTGTTCTGCCAGCCACCGCAGGAAGTGAAGCAGGGCTACGTGGTTGCAGTTCAGAAGGCTGAGTATGAGGTGGGATTTGACATCCACTATCTATGCAGGAAGAACTACCTGCTGGACGGACCCCAGAAGATCACCTGCCTGTCAAACGGCAGCTGGAGCGCATCGCCGCCACACTGCAGAGGTGAGCAACGACTCAAGTGGGCCTTTCAGGAAAACCAAAGGGCATTTTTAGAACTTGTCATTTAAAAAACAACAACAAAAAAAAAACTTGGTTTCAGCACACGATGTGTCAGCATTTCTGTTTCTGATGCCCTCAGCTCGCTGTGTCATTCCCGCCGAGAGGAGCCGTGTGGTGATTGGCGGCATCAAGCGCTGGCCGTTTGATATAACGGACGCTGTGGTGCCCCACGGGGAAAATGTGACATTTTTCTGCAAACATCCCCGGAAACACTGCAGCTTCACCGCAGCTCAGACCTGCTTTGATGGCAAGCTGCAGACCCCTGCATGCTACCTTGGTAAACCCCAACCCATCATCCATCCCTCTGATTGTAATTTGTTCAACAATAATACACTTTTTTATAATTATTTATTTATCTTTTGCTTTTAGAGCCCACATGGTTGCAGTATAAACTCTTCCCCCATCGGCTGGTTTCAGAAATCGAAGCGTGTGAGCCTGGCGATGTGGAGTGACGACATGCACCCGGTCCACACACATCGTTGTGACCACACGCCGCAGCTTCAACGGCTGATGTGCTTTGATTATGGTTTGTTAGATGCTGTCTGTTAGATTTATCACAGCTAATGTGAATCAGCTCTGGTACTCGAGGCCTCGTGGGTTTGAACGCTGCTCTCTGCTTTTGTCTTGCACGCTGTCAATAAAAGCGTAATTATGCATAGAATAATTATAATCAAGCAGAGCCTTCAAGTGTTACTTCAGTCCTCCTCCGGTGTCGAGGCGGCCCACTCTGCTTTAGGCCTTTAGGATGATGTAAGCACATTAGTTTAAACCAGAGCCTAATTCCTGACTTGACTCTGTGGTGTTCTACTGTGGCCACGCCCAACGCGCCATATCCTGAGGCTTGTAAGGTTTAAAATGTGAGTTTTAAAAATAAAAATCATGTGGATAATGGTTTACTCTCTGGTTATTTATCGGCACACAGAGTTTTCTGAGGTGGTTATAAATACAAGGAGGAAAAGAAGAGGTTGACCCACCAGGCTACTTCTGTCAAACTACGCTTCAGAGCAACAACAAACAGGACTTTCACAATAAATAAAAGACAGGTTCAATGCAACAATTCCTCAAATCCAGTTAATTTTCATTCACTTACTTTAAAGTGTAGCAAATGTAGATTTTGTTTGGATTAAATGTAACTTTCCTCATTCATATTCAGTCTGTATGATGTGAGAACTGTAACGTATCCAGATTAACACATTGCAGACAGTAGCTGCTGGAAAGTGGACAATCAAATAAATCTGCATGCTGTAAAATCTGTCAGTAAAAGCAAAATGTGAAATAGTCTTGAGAATGTCTGGAAGACAATGAGATTTTACACAAAAACAAAAAAGTACATGAAACCCAGTTTTCTGCTAAGCAGTGAATAGAGGAACCAAGTTTTTTGATTAGTGGATTAACTTTTTCACTAATGTTGAAAACCGTCACAGCTGTCTTAGTGGTAAGCAATTACCTGTTATTGTTAGCTTCCTCTAATTTTTACATTTAGCTTTTTAGCAATTTTTCTGCCAATTTTTCTTTACAGGTTTAGTATTACCAAAGCTAACACTGCTAACTCTGCTAGTGCTGCTGAAGATGGCATTTAAAATTAAATTCAAAATGTGTTCATTGTAAATAATATGGATGGTAGGCAAACCTATGGCCTGACAACTCAGATACCAGAGTTAGCAATGTTTGTCACAGGATGATGATGTCACAACAAAAGCCGCACACCAACAGAATAGCCTATATGCCATTAATGATGTATTTCCGGTAAAATTCTTGCCACGCTCCTCCCTTCCACTCCCTGCTTACTGCCTATGTTTTTACCGTTAGCTCCTAGTACTAGTCCGTGAAAAAGTCACAAAAGTTAAAGCATCTGTGATCTAATGGTATAAAACGTGAGTTCTGTTGTGCGCCGTTGTGTCCACTAAGCAGCAGATAAGATCGAGTAGTTAGTTTTTATCCATTTTCCTCTTGATGAGGAGGTGACAGCTGTTGATCATAGCATTACAGGGAAAACTTATCTTTAAAAGCTCAAGCTTGCGTTTGTAATCGGCATTTCTAACCTGAGGATATTCAAGAGYCAGCATCAGAAATGAGAAGATGAAGGTTACAAAAAAGAAATGTACATTTATCCCATTTTACTGCCAAGACCGGGAGAGGAAAGACCTCCTCCACACGACAGCTAGCAGGAAGCTAACACAGCAGCCGGTACAAAGGTGTATGTGCGCACGCGCGTTTGTGTTATATGAAATGTTTTTATGCGACTTTGTCATGAGTTTTATGCAAAAGTAAAAACTTGTTAGCGTGTATATTACAGCGTAGACTAAAGCCGAGTGACGAGCGCCCCCCACCCCTTCCTCCCGAGCACCGAGAGCAGCAGAACCTCTGCCTGATAATCATTACGTTTTCAGTTCACTAATGTCGGGGGAAACGATCCAAACCATACAAGTAGCCCATCAATTTAAAGCCCAGACTCTGCTCTTTCCAACAATATAAGTGTCACAGCTCTACGTGAAAAATTCACAGAACAAGCAGCCACAGAATAGCAAAAAAGGCTAAATTCTGGAACCATAAACACGAAAGTCTTTCCTTTGTTTTTATGGCTTTAATCCACTTTGGAGCGATTTTTTTCCACTTGGCTGAACCTGTATGTCTCCTGTGTTAATGTTGGTACATGTGATATGCTAATTCTGTACTGTGGAGATCATTAAGTCGTTGTCGGGTGAAAAAATCTTTCGCTAACTCTGTGTTGACCGTGAACCGGAAGTGCTGCGAGTGGCATCAAGTGCTTGACCGGATGTCCGTGGCATATAGGCTATTGAAATATTTTAATTTAATTTAAAAAAAAATATTAAATTTTTAGCATTTAACTACAGATGTAACTTTTATATTTGAATTTAGAATTTAAAATTTAGAAATAACATTTAAATTTGATATTTAGTAAAAATTAGCAACAAGTAAAAAGAGTGATAACAGCGGTGGGCAGCACTAATCTAAAAATTTGTTCCACTAGCCCTAAAACACTAACTCAAATATTTAGGTCCCCTAATTCTAAAGCACTAATGCACCGAAAGTTTTAGCTAAAGCTAATTCTAAAGCACTAAAATAACCCAGTCAACCCATGAACATTCTTCAACAGACAACATGAGTCACATATTGCCATGTTGCTCTCTTACCCATCACCCACTCCAACACAAGTTAGGAGTCGTCAGGACTCTGTACCACAGAGCAGACAGTGTCCCCACAAACACAGGAGCCAGAGAGAAAGAGAAATCACACACAAGACAGGCCCTGGAGCAGTGTGGTTATCCTGACTGGGCTTTTCTGAAAGCCGACAAGAAACCCAAACAGGATTCCAGCCAACAACCAGCTGAAAAAGAAGACCCTAAACCCAGACCCAAACCAGTCGTCATTCAGTATGTGGCGGGAGTTTCAGAGAAACTGAGACGTTTATTCTCTAAACATGACGTCCCAGTGACTTTCAAATTCCAAAACACATTACGGCAAAGATTAGTTCACCCCAAAGATCCAGTTCCCCAGCAAAAACAGAACAATATTGTAAATGCTGTTAAGTGTCTGGAGGAGTGTGATCAGTTATACATCGGAGAAACAAAACAGCCACTGTTCAAAAGAATGTCCCAACACAGACGAGTTACTTCGTCGGGTCAGGACTCTGCAGTTTACACTCATCTACAGGCCAGCGGTCACTCTTTCAGGGATGAAGATGATCTCATCCTTGATAGAGAGGAACTTGGTTTGAGAGAGGAGTAAAGGAAGCCATCTTTGTGAAGAAAAACCGTCCACCATTAAAAAAAGAGGTGAAGGCCTTCATGTCCAGTTGTCCCTCCTCCTACAATGCTGTCATTGCAAGTATGACCCAGCCCCCTGTGAGCAAAAGGTGTGAATCAGGGCCCCAATGATACCAACACAAAGAGGGAAAAAAACAAACAAAAACAAGGGGACATTGAGCCCCACCTGCATTCACTACATACATATAACAGGACACCTAAGAACCACAGCATCCAAACCAATAAGTCAGGTGATGGGGCACATGACCCTCTATGAACAATAGAGCCAATCAAGCCTATTGTTAAGCGATGGCCCTCTTTTGCATGTGACTAACCTGTTTGTCCACCATGTGGAGGCAGTGCTTATAAGGCTGAGTTCACCTGAAACTCATCAGACTGAAGATGTCTCTTGGAGGAGAGACGAAACGTTTCACTAAAGAAGAACCCATCCAGAGGACCTACTTATTTTTTCTTTTTGAGTTGCTCTCTTATGACTTATCATCGACATTCCACAGCCATACTTGAGTTCATATATTGTCAATATAATATTGTCACCTTCTATAAGTGGGTGACACACATATGAACAAACTGTGCATCAGCTTTCACTGTCAGCTGTTAACATTAATGTTGATCAATAACATTTAAAGACCTCAGTTAGTGCTTCTAAATTTAGCCTATATATTTACCAAGAGCAAATCCACTAATAATTTTTTTAAATTTCGCAACCCCCCTAAAGCACTAATCAGGAAATTAGTTCCCCTATTAGTGCTTTAGGGGAACTGTGCCCACCACTGAGTGATAATAATAAAATGTTTCGGAAAACTTCTAAGCTAGGATTTTACACTAAAAAAGTGAGCTAAATAATGAAAATGTGTTAGTGACATTTTTCAACATTTTATCTTACACTTGGCACCCCATAGTTAAGTTACACAATTATAGTTGTTACAAAAAACAAACAAAAAAATTCTAACCCAACATTTCACCTCATCCTGTGTTTTCTCTTACATAACTCATCAAGTAAAAGGAAAAATGCAGTCTTGTCCATCAAAACTAAAAGTATGCTGGTTTGTTTATATCAAATAACCTCTGACCCCTCCCCACAATGCACTGCGCACAGAAAACTACAGAATTGTAATCTATGGACGAATTATTACATCAAAACCAGTAGAGTAATAAGAGCCTGTGTTGGATGAGACTAGCCTTCAGGTGACTGTAACGCGCACCCTGCTCTCACTGGCTCTTTAAGGCGCGCGGAGTCACGCGCAAGGCTGCGGGTTCAACTGTACTCATAGGCTGAACATGGCTGCTGGTCGGACCCGGTAGGCTGCGACACCATAGCAACACCCTTTGACCCCTCCTTCCTTCTTTCCTTCCCTCCCTCCCTCACCATTCGCAGCATCACCCTTTCCTTTCCTTTTTTCTTTTTTTTCCCCACCCCGCACCGTCATATTTGGTCCTCCGGAAATCTCCACAGCTCGGAGTAAGCCAGTCCCAATGCAGCGGCGGTCTGGGGTGGAGTAGAGTTTAAATGAAAATTTTTAAATTATTATTATTAAATGTATGGGAAAGCGCGTCCGAGCGGCGGCAGCAGCAGCAGCAGCAGCTGAGGAGGAGGAGGGGAGGGCTGGAAATCCAACGACTGCGCGCCGGGAAAGTTTGTCCTGAAGCTGCGCTCTCGGTGCCTCGGACCGTCGGCTCTAAAATGGCTGGCTGTAGGTCCGAGGCAGAGCTCCGGTAACCTGCGGACACAGACGGATCCGCTCAGAACCGGGCTGTAGAGACTAACAACAGACTCGTGTCTCTGCTCGGTTAGGAGACGCAGGTCCGAGAGCTGCCAAGGCGCACAGATAAATGAGATTTAATAATAACAATGGCGTTTCGGACCCAGGACTGTGCGTAATGGCGTCCTCCGCGGACTCTTCTGCTCGGGTTTTATTCCAATATATAATTCCCATCTGCAATCCAAACGGGTTGGGAGTGTAATAATCTGACAAGTAATCAGGAAAGGTTTGTGTTGCATGTTATTTCTCTTTCATCTTTCCTAAATCGCTAAACTGTGGGTTCAGAAAAACGCCAAAAGCGGCAGAAATAGACGATCTTGATGTAGAGGAAGAGGGGGAGGAGGGGGGTCAGTCCTCGGTCTCTTCCTGGAGATGTAATGTGCATGATCTGTGTTATGGCTCCAAATCTGTGCTGAGTTTTGGATTAAAAACATTTTTTTAATCCAACCCTTTTTAAATGTATTTTTAATCTACTCATTTCATTCTAAATTTAACACTTGAAGTTTGTAATCCCATACTCCTTTTTTCTTTATATTAAACAGAAATAGAAAGAGGTATGCCCCAAAATGGATCCTCAGTTGGCCTCAGTCCTGACCAGTGGCAGCCTGGAAGTCCAAAATGGCAGCCTGCATGGAGAGGATTCAGGAACAGAGGTTGTTCTGGACCCAAAGGATGAAACCAGCTCACCCAGCACCAAACCAGGTAACCTCAAGTCCTGCCTAGTCAAAGCAGCAGTGACCATCAGGAGAGATGCTCAATCAATCAATGGGAAAAAGCCAGAGGTGGGCGGGACTTGTGAGCCAGCCTCTCAGGAAACCAGTAAGATTGGCGGCCTCAGACAGCCAATCAAAGTAAAGCCTGGAGTGCCTGCTCTGCGAGGGCAGCCAGTAAGAATCAAAATTGTGGTTCCTCCGGGGCGCAAGAAGCCAATCGCCAACTCTGCCGTCAGCCTGACCAAAGACTGTGCTGCTCCACAAACTGAGGGGCCTGTTCTGTCCTCTGCTCAAGCTCCGGTCGCAGGAAAAAGCAGAGGTCGGGTCCAGAGATCAGCTGCTAGACGAGAAGGGGACATCAGACAGGATGCCTCTCAGAAGGCAGAGGAGGGAGCAGATGCAGAATCATTCCTGGAGGAAGAGGAGGAGGAGGAGAGCAAAGACACAACTATTCTGGATGTTAAAACTGTGCACATGGACGAGTCAGAGATGAGTTCTGTGTCCCACACTACTGTAGTTCAAGAGGACGCCGCGGATGGAGAAGCCGAGCAACACGTTCCTCAGATTTTGCGAAAAACAAACTCTGATTCTCTTAAACTGTTTGATGAAACGGAGGAGCAGACGGAACCGCTGGATCTGAGTTTGCCGAAGAAAAGGGTCAGTCGAGACCGGAGTCACGGACGCCTGGTGGGCGACCCCGGTGGTGAGAGCTCGCTGATCATGGAGGTGGACGAATACGAGGGAGACGGAGACAGAGACATGGTAGAAGAAGACGTTAATGAGGGCTCTGAAGGACCCCTCTTGTCCCCCTCTTTCTTTTCTACCTCTGTCCTGATGTCTCTGTCTCCTGTAGACTGCGACACAGAAGACCTGCTTCTCATCGACGATCAGGGGATCCCGTACACGCTCAGTCCGGACGGACTCAAAGTGCCGCAAGTTGATGCGTCCATGTCAGGCGCTCCTCAGTCTGATCAGGTGGACTCAGCAGAGCAGGAAGAAAAGAGCTCTTCGCATTCGGCTACATTAGCAGGTCCTAGCTTTAGCCAAAGTTTAGATCTTGCACCATCTTCTGCTGAATTTGACCCCCCATCAGCCGATGAGCCATCACCAAATGTCAACGATCCAAAAAAAAGTCCAGAAATATTTTCACGCTCACAGGCAAACCCAGATCCTCCAGAGCTGAACGTTGATGTCACTCAGGAGGCGAATGGGGTTGTGTCTCCTGCATCTGGGTTATCGCTTCCCACTCAACCCATCCAGATCCTCACCAACTCTTCGACCAACCCCCCACTTCTCCTCCTGTCTTCCTCCTCTTCGGGTGCAGCTGGCCTCTCGCTTCCCCTCTCAGTCGCTCCGATGTCGCCCGGTGCTTCCACGCCTGTGATACTTCTCCTCTCCTCTGTGTCCGCCTCATCCGACGACTCCAGCTCTACCTCCACCGCCGCCTTCGCTGTCCTCGACCCCTCCACTGGTCAGCTGTCCCAGGTCACGGCGTCCTCGGCTCCTCTCTCGCTCCCTCTGTCCTCCGCTCAGGTCGGTGGGCTGGGCCCCATGCTTTCTTCTAACCCCGTCGTCAAACTGAGCCCTGGCGGCTCGCCCCTTGTCCTGTCAGGGGTTAGCCCCGTGACCCCTGGCCCCGCTCTCACATCCCTCACCGTCCCTTCATCTGCACTGCAGGACAGCCACCTCAGCAAAGCCCTTCAATCTCCAAACTACTCTGGATCAAACCCAGGAAGTGAAGCCATATCTGCTGAAAAAAGTGAACTGAAGAAGCCATCAACCTGTGCAACGACCTCGCCACAGCCTCCGCCTGCAACACGCGAGCCCTTAGCTCCGCCCGCTTCGCAGGCCACGGCCCAATCACCAGCCTCAGAACCTAAACTCGACCCCTCCGATCTCCACCCCGAACATTTACCTCTGGACGACCACCTTTACTTCTTGAACTCGGCCGCTCCTCCCTCCCCTCCCATCGGACCTCTCCTCCCCTCTGCCAAACTGGACTCCCTCGAGGGCCTGGACCCCCTCTCTCCGGAGGAGTCCCCCAACAGTCTGAGCTCCCGTCGGGTGCTGTGCTGCCAGCTGTGTCCGCGGATCTTCTTTTACCTCTCCGATCTGGAGCGGCACGCCATCACACACTCGCAGAAGAAGCCTCACGTCTGCCAGCAGTGCGGCAAAGCCTTCAAACGCTCCAGCCACCTGCAGGTCAGCGTTCAAACACCTGGTCCTACATCCCCTCACTGAGGGAGCATCTGAGCTCAAGATGCCACAAAGAATCAAGAATTACTGATGAAATGCATTTATGAGGATACGTTCATTTCATATATTCTGAAAGAACACAAAATCAGTTTCTCTGAACAAAATGTGAACATTTCATTAATTTATAAAGTTTAAACTGAAACATTTTGTTTTGCTTATGAAACATGATTAAGTTAATAGTTTATTCACTAAAATAGTTTTCTGTCAGTTACAACAGTTCATGGGTCATGTAAACAGATAAAAGTACTTTTAGGTGTTATACTAAAGTCATACTAAACACAGATTAACCTTTTTATTTAGCTTGGTTTACCAACATTGTTACATTATTCTTCAGATGTTTTGAGTGGGTTTCCACAAAAAGATTTAGTCAGTCTAAAACATTTTTAAAAATAAAAAGTAATAGAATTAGGAAAATAAATAAATAACCAAAGGTTTAGTTTGAGTGTTTTGAAATGGGGTTTAATGGAGAGGCTATGGTCAGTATCTTACCTGCTGTAGATAACTGTACAACCTTAGTTTGAAGAAACAGTTTAGTTCTGTATGGACTGCTGACATCTTAGAATTTCTCTAGTATTAATGTTTACATTGTAGTTCATGCAAACGCTAATTTATAAACCTTGGATATTTTTAATGTTTTTGTTAGATGTTTTGATTATCTGAATTGCAGGTACACACTTTGTGATCAAGTGTAATTATTTACTTTAAACAGTAAGAGAATCAACAAGTCTCTATTCACACAATGTTTTACATTTCAGGATTCTAGAACTTGTTTTAGGGGTACTTCCTTGTTTACTATGACATCATATCCAGGGTGTGACCAGGTTTACCATAAACATTGTAACTCAGAACTTAATCATTTTTCTCCGCATGATTCGGACTTCCAGTCTGAACAATTGCTTACAGTTACATAGATTTCAATAGCAACAGCAGCAGCTAGCTGTAGCTCGGTGCAGTCTGGAGCACTTCAGTATCAGAATATTTCTGTCAGAACAACCACGTTAACCCGGTTTATAAAATTGTGCTTTGTTGTTTTTGCAACAACTGTTGTTTTTAAATGACAGAAACTCTCTTTGGTGTTTCCCCTTTTTATTTTGCCAGTCTTTCAGGAAAAATATATTTTTCTCCAAACTGAGATTGTTTAGAGTTATCTGCAACAAGTAAGATATTAATTGTTCATAACCTTTCCACAAAAGACCTTAAACTATCCTTTTATGTCCTAATTTTCATAAAAGCATCAAGTATAAACCATACAGATGGACAGAATGATGGTTATTATCAATAGTAGTGTGCAGTAATTCATCACAGCTCACCTACTTGTTTGTCGTTTTCTTCTAACAGCGACACAAGCACATCCACACAGGCCAGAGGAACTTTGTGTGTCCCATCTGCTCCAAGCGATTCAGGGAGGCGGGGGAGCTCCAGCGCCACCAAAGGGTGCACACCGGCGAGAAGCCCTACCAGTGCCAGCTCTGCCACACGCGCTTCGCCGAGCGCAACACCCTGCGAAGACACACCAAACGCAAACACCCGTATCACCAGGTCGCCATGGAGATGCTGAACGAGAGGCGGGAGAGAGGCGGAGACGGGGGAGGCGGCGGCGGAAGAGGGGGTGTGCAGGAGGAAGAAGAGAGCGCAGAATGGTACAGCTCAGCTGTGTCGACTCTGGATAACTCAGAGTCCGAGATGGAAACGTAATGTTTCTAACTAAAGGAAAAGGTACGGAGCCTCACGAGGGTCGCAGGAAAATAAAAGTTTGAGGTCGTGAAAATCATCAGGGGTGCCCAAACATTTTCCCAGAGAGGGCCGAAATGAAAATCTATCCAAAGGCTGTGGGCCAAATGCAATAATGTAATACATGAAGTGCAAATACTTTTAAGTAAAGTCCTTTTATTTTTTTATGATTAAACTAGCAGCCAGTTCAGTGACCCACATTATTTGGTTTGTTTTTTTAGCCTGTAACCTTGAAGAAAGGTTGACCTATGCTCAGGCAGCAAAGGCTCACGGGACATTTCATAAATTGATGAAATATGAGTATTTGTGGTCTTATAAAATCTACACGTGTGCTTAAATCCAATCTTTGTCTCTTGCAGTTACTTATGTTTTATGTTTAATCCTAATATAATTCAAAGATAAAGTTATCACCGTGAGTGAAAACTATTTGCACTGCAGCCTGTTATATAATCATTAGGCTCATGGATGGAATGACTGTTAGTGAAAATACAATGTTTCTACAGAGGATGAATGGAGATCACAACCTAGTAACCAGGGCAACTGCTAGCGGGCCAAATCAAATTGCTTGGAGGGCCAGTTTTGGCCCATGGACCACATTTTGGGCACCTCTGGTTTAGATTATGTGTGAATTCACAAACTTCAGTAATGTTAAAAACTTGGATGAGTTATTTCGAGAAAGGGGTTTCTGCAGTCACTAAGTAAAAGTTTCTTGTTTTGTGGGAGGATTTTATATTAAAGGCATGATTGGTCGGACTGAATATTTTTTGGTGGGGTTTGAAGAAGCTGGGGGCAGCTGGGAGTAGCTTGGTTGAATCAGCCAGAAAGCACCTATGTTTTATTGATATAAATATTAATGGAGACAGGAAGGCGCTAGCTGCACAACATTTGAAAGCCGTGCACGTGGAGGGACGTGTAACAAATCAGCTCAGTCACAACAGCCCTAGCCAGTCTGTAAAAAGATTGTTATATAAAAATATGACTTAATATTAGTCATAACTTGAGACAGGAAGGTGCTTGCTGCACAGAGTTTGAAGTTAATAAATCATATTTACATGTTCACAATAATTTTAATATTAACATTCATTTTTTTAAGTTTTCCACAAGACAAATCAATCCGACCAATCACGGTTAGGACAAACTCCGCCCACACAACAAGAAATTCTCCCTATGTACTGCAGAGACCCCTACTTGATTATTACCACAATCAACTTCTAAACAAATCATCCAGATGATGTAAAATTTCAGACATCAGCTTCTGTGAACTTCAGAAAAGCAGACGATACACTACAGCCTAAAGCTGTGTTCACACTGCAGGCAAAAGTGATATAAATCAGAATTTTTTTTGCCTGTTTGCGATCCATATCAAATGTTTTTCATGACTTTAGGACTGATCTGCCATCATGTAAAAGTGTTTTTGAAAGAGTTTATTGATACAAACATCATGCAGGTTAAAACGTTTTAAAAGTTGTCATGTCCTGGATGACTGAGAATTTACACCAACACAATACTAACACTGGTATACCAACAGGTCAGATCCTATCAGTACCAGTATGATGGGGCTGATAATTGAGTTTGTTTTGGCTCGCTCCCATTCTAGAAGTGCAATTCTGCACCTGAGCAGACAGGAAGCGGCAAGTTTAAATGTAAAACGTTAAGATAAAACAAAGCAGAGCAGAAAACAGTTTAATCAGCTCTGATTGGACAACAATTCCAGAATCGATCCATAAACGCTAACATGTAGCATTTAAACTTAGCACACAAAGTAATGAAAGTTGTGTTTGGTAGATCAATAAATCTTTTAGTGGGCACCTGATTGGCAGCACCGGGGAGTACAAGAAGCAAAAGCAAGTGTCAAAAGCAACAGCAAAATAAACTATTTGGCAAATGTTTCATGTGCACAACCCACACACTCAGCTCTACTGCTCATTTCACATATGCATGTTCCTTGTCAACTAACTAGTGTGTGAACCTCTGTATGGATGCTGCTGTGACACCTGAATTTCCCCTCGGTGGGTCAGTAAAGGCTATTTCTATTTCTATTTCTATTTCTATTTCTATTTCTATTTCTATTCTATTCTATTCTATTCTATTCTATTCTATTCTATTCTATTCTATTCTATTCTATTCTATCCTTACAAATGCCATGTCAGCAGCTAGATCTGGCCCACACCCGTGTGCTATGTGTAGGTTTTAGTTTAACTGTTTAAATTACATAAAAACGTTAAATAAATGTTTGATTCATGAATATCTCACGTGAAAACACACACAGAAACAGAACTATTTCCATGAATATTTTGATTTTTTTAGATGGTCGTTTTAACCCTCATCTCACCTCCATCACTGTCTATTTCTCTGGTCGCACAGAAAGCAAAGCACAACACCTGCTGTACATAGACAAGGATGTTATTGTGAATTTATGCATTTTGTTTCCTAAACTTACAAAACATTCACGACCTCAAACTTTACCTTTGCTCCCCAGAAAAGGCGCTGTAAAGAGACGCTGTCAGGTTGATCGTATCCAACTCTAGATACGGTCAAAATGTTTAACATTTAAACACGAGAGCACTTGAAATATTTATTCTGATTTTAAATAGCAATGTATTTATTATTATGAATGTATATTATTCCCATTCTGGTTAAAGAGCCAAAAGTTTGACCTGATTTAGAGTTCCTGTGTGAAATAAAGTGCATTTTGAAAGGGAAGTTTCAAAAATGTAAAATAAATTGTTGCCCCTGTGAAGTTGCGTTGCAATGCAATCCTTGAAAAACACCCCCCAAAGTGCTCAGAAAAGAAGAAAGATTATTTAGTGGAAACAAATCTCTGCTGTAGTTGTATATATTTGAAGAGACGTATTTGTAAAAGCTGCACTTCTGCACTATCTCATACAGAAGATGAAATCTTTCCTACCGTCAGAGACACTGTGAGTCGTTTGCACTTGTTTCATCTTTAAGTTCTGGTTTTTTACATTGTGAATGAAAAAGCTTTCTTTTAATTTAGTTGCTGCTTTTAGTTTTTATTTTTCTGTATTTATTTCAAATCCTTTTTGAGTTTGACCAAATGTTTATTCTAACATAAACACTAACATAATCAGATTTTAAAATAATTTATGTGATTTATGTTAACTTATTAAAATAAAGTTTTCACAGCTACTAGATTTTTTTCCTACTTTGTGTCTTGTTATTTATTTATTTATTTATTTTCCCACACAGCTGCTTTAAAGAATCAAGTGTTTCTTTAATCCAGCCTTTTTCCCAAAAGGAATTTAATCACAAATAACTCTTTCCGGTAATGAACACTAGAGCAGCGGTCCACATCTCTCTTCTAATTTAGGCTAATCCTTGGACTATTTTCTTCACAACATTAATCACCAAACAGGAGACTTTACTTGAATCCTTGTGATGGAAAAGATTGACTCGTGCACGGTTGAGTGTGCAGGTTGGCCACTCCGACCGGGCTGTGGGGAATTGAGTTAGCGAGACGGCCCTCTGTTTTTTTTTGCTCTCTGAATTTACTGCTCGATTTAAAGTCATAAAGCCTAAAAGAGCTGGGCTTTAGATAATCTTTTTAAAAATGAAAGTAGCTGATTTGACCTGACTGGGTTGTTGCCATCCTCTCTTTTCTTATTCCTCAGCTGGTTGTTGATCAGTAAGGGGGTCATCCATAAGTCCCTTGATAGTCATGTTCCACAGTACCTATGTTCTCTCTGGGTTAATACCAAAAGTCATTGTATCGCAACTGAGGAAAATACCTATGACAAAATACTGAATTAAATTGCAGGCATTGTACTGAGGAACAGAGGTACTGGGAAACAGTATTTATGTTCCCCGATTTGATGCCTGCACTGTAATTCAGTATAATTTTTATTTGTATTAAAAGACATTTGAAGGGGGAGCCAAACATCTTTCATGACTTTCATTATTAACCCCTGGAGAACATAGGTACTGGTAAACATAGGTAACAGGGAACATAGATACTGGCGAACATAGGGACCAGGGAACATAGGTAATGGTAAATGTAGGTACTGGAGAACATAGGTACTGGTAAACATAGGTACTAGGGAACATAGGTACCGGGGAAGGTAGATAGGTAATGGTAAACATATGGTACCAGGGAACATAGGCACTGGTAAACATAGATAGATAGATACATAGATACGAGGGAATATTGGTACCAGTGAACATAAGTATTGGTAAACAGGTACCAGGGAATATATGTATTGGGGAATAGTTTAGTTTAGTAAATTTATTCATTTTCATTTAAAAACAAAACAAAAACTTTACATACAACAAATAATACAAATCACAAATAAAATGAAAGGTAGCAAAAAGAAGAAAAAATTCCTATTAACATCTGCCCATTTTTTCCCAAACATAAATAAATTCAAACAATAATAATCTTCAAATAACAAAACTTAACAAAAAACTTCAATATAGTATGGTAAACATAGGTAGTGGGGAATATACGCTTGCCTCAGAAAGAGTGGTGCCACACTAAAACCAAAGATCATAAAATAATTTCTTATTCTTTTACAGCTTATGGCTTTCTTTTATGAAAAATAGGTACACTTGTAAAGAATTTCAGAGCATCCTTTATGCTGTTGATGTAAAACGATTTAAAAACTAGAAGATAAGTTAAGAATTACCAACTGATGTAACTCGCTTTTCTATTACTTAACTGATAATAGTACAGATTATTTGAGGTACATAGACCAGAATGGATAAGATTTGAAGTTCCACAACAGTACAGTTTAAATGTGTTGTGTATCTTTACACAAATGTAATGCCATAAAGTCTGTCTTTTTGTCCGCCCTAAGAAAATCCAAATGTACATCAACCATGTCTTTGAATTGTTTGCCTTTAAGGGTGGCCATTGCCCCCCCCCAGCCCCACTCCTGTTGGGGCTCCTGCAGACATAGCAGCTCAGTCCTACAAGGTTAATTAAAGCGAAGTGTCTTTGGAGAGAGTTTGTTACAATAAAACTAAAAAAAAAATACATTTTTACTGCAATATACAGCAAAATATAATCTTAAAACTATTCATTGCTTAGTTTTTGTATTTCTTGTTCTTGTTAGTATGACCTGTCACACTAATTAACCTCCACAGCATCATGGATTATTGTTTTTTAACTGGAGTTAGGTAAAAATGTCAGATGGAGCATTTCCTCTTTATCCTGGAGGGAGGACACTTTTTTGTTTCACCTCAATTC